GGTTATACCATACGGTTGGACTATGAAAGTGCCAAGTATTTGTTGTACCAACTGTTATACGATATAAATATATATTAATCATTGAACAAACAAGGTATTAAAAGTGAATAAGATAACAAATACAAAATATATTAGTATCAAACATTAAAGTCCATGTTGAGTTTATACCATACTTATTTTTATACTATTAGTGTAACCTTTTCACCTTACATAATAGACTTAAGTAAACATAATGAAAGAAGATAAACATAAATAAACAAGAGATTAATGAAAGCAAAACTTAAATATTACAAAAATATAAAGAGAAAGAGCAAGAACATGATCTTGATATGAGAACTAAAATGCCTAAATGCATGGCAAATGCCTTCTTTTATAGGCAAAAATTGAGAACTATTGATTTATTGACTAATTGTTAAGTAGGTGACCAACTCTTGACTTGGTGACAATCCTTATCTTCTTGTCTGAACAAAATATCATTGCTAACATCAGAATTTGAACAAACTTGAATCATGAAAGTTTTAGAAAATTATCTAAGCTTTCCAAAAAAAAAATTGAGGTTATTTGGACCTCTAGAACTCAATATATGGGTTGAACAGTGAATAGTGTCTGGGTTGCAGGACAAATTTGGACTTCCAAATATCAGAATTGAGTTTTATCTTCTCATGAATGTTTTAAGTCTGTGTCTTAGCTTTCTAGCTATATAAACCAAATTGAAATCCAAGATCTATAAGTCCAGATATGACCGAATGACTGAACAGTATTTCAGTTTGGATCGAATCAGCATCACTTTTCTAAGCTTCATTCTCTTTTTGTCTTCTTAATTTCAATAATGGAACTCATCAATCAATCATTTGATTTATGTGATAGGCCTACATTTAAGATGAACATTTACCATAAATTAAAAGTATCTTATAGTATCAGACTTGTTATTATAAAACATGCTTTAGTTAAGAAGTTATTGATACTTCAAGCGCAAAATGCTAATATAAAACCTTGATAAAAATATACTTTTAAGTACTAATCAGCGATTGACCTTTGTTATGTGTTCATTTGCCAAACTACTCCCATCTTTATCCTTAGAAGCTCTAGGTAACCTAAATTTTTCCAACATGTAGGTGCTAGACTTTTTAGTCCTTGGTATATAATCTAAATGGATCCTAGTCCCACTAGAACCCCTAGTCTCTAGGTGTTCTTAGTCTAAAAGTAAAGTCATAACTAAATGCCACTTGTTTCCCTCTTTACTGGCCATTTTGAAAGAAAAATGTTAAGGAAAACGTTACTTTAAGATAACTTCTTCTACTTCATCCCGTGAAATTATCATGTCTCACACCAAGATTAAAAATACTTCTATACACCTATTTCTCTTCACACCAAGTTCTTGAGAGAAATGTTAGAGAGAGACTTTAAATGAATTAAAATGAAATAAAAGGAGTCTTTATATAGGGGAGAGAGGTCTTGTCCATCCTCAATCGAATCAGTGATATATGTCACCAACATGAAAAATCCATAAAAAGGCAATTAATATTTTCATGAAACACCCTACTAGGTATTTATCCAATAAAGATAAGCAATATTTTAGCTACAAATGTCATCTAACATGGGCTAACGAAACACCTCAAAAAGCATCCACCTTTCTTACATGGAGAAATACTGAAAATGAAACAATATTTTTATAAAGTCTATTCAGTAAAATTGCTCCATGGACTTGGAGGGCTATTGATGAATTAATATTTATCTATTTTAGCACAAAACCTATAATAGTCTTGGGCATAATTTTCAGGCCTCAACTAACTCCTTGTGGGCTTCGGTAAAGCACCCGAGCTCAGTTGTTGGGTGAGTGCCCAACACCTTTTTAGGTCCGGGTGGTTTTTCCAAGCTCAATCCCAAGAGGTGTGCTTGGCCTCCTTGGCCCATGTGTTTTTTTTTTTCAACAACATGACTTGGTGTTTTTGGGACTAATGAATGTCTTAAACCTATATGCTTCTTCTCTCATTCATGCACGTGGAAATGATGTCTTTCTTATTAATATATGTGTAATAAGAGATATTTGTTTTTCATAAATATTATTATGGTAAAATTATTTTTAAGTCTCTCCATTGAGAAAAAAGATAAAGTTTAAAAGCTATAAATATCCCTTAAACTATTTATTTAAAAGGTTTAAGAAAAACGTATATATTCACTAAAAGAACAACTTATTCTTGGAATTTAAGGCTATTTAACATATTTATTATTCATTTCTCTATATAATTATTAACTATACCATCAATGGATTATTAAACCATCAAAAAGAAGACTTTTTATATATATAAGAGGCATTCATCAAGAGAGTTTCATTTACTTTGAATAAAAAAATTATTTGAATAAACATATAATCAACCCACCAAAAAACCTTATTTCAAGGCATATTAGATTTTTAAACATCATCGCATGCTGTATTTTACATATGTTAAATGAGTAAAATGTTTACATCTTTATCAAATTTCAACTAGTTGTCGATGATGACAAACTCCCATTCTGTGGCTTAACTGGAGGTGGCTGGTCAATTGTAACAACATGATGATGTACATCCATGTTAGCACCCTGATGCATTTCTCCCTGCTCTGGTAATTTTGGTTTCTCTTGTTCTACGTTTTCATACTGTGCAAGGGAGGCTAATTCATGAATTGCCTCAGCAATTTTCTCTGCGTAAGAGATCACCTCAAATAGTAGAGAAGTGACAGTAACGGCTGGTACAACTTCTAAGAGGTTAATGCCTCTACACAGGTCTGAAGAGAGCAAGAACTTCAGGTTCTTGGCAAAAAATTTTGATTTTACAAGGTGGGAACTGGCAGAGGATGGTGGGGTCATGCTTTTGATAGCCAATGCTAATTCCTTCAATGCTTTTCCTAATTCTGAGCTCATTTTTGTGCATGAATCCTGAATCATGCCTTGGATTTCTGGTGGTGTCTGCAAAAATTGTTTCCATTTTGATCACATTAGTAATCTCTGTTAATTTCTAGTTGCATTTTTTTTCACTGTGTAATGATTTTAAGTGGACAGAGTTCATACCTTAATGTCAGAATTGAGGTAGCCATTAAGAGCTTCGACTCTGTAGGCACATTGCCTAGTTAGGCTTCCAAACTTGAGGTAGTGTTTCCAAGGATGACGAAACTTGAACTGGCCATGACCAGGTTCCCATCTTGCAAAATTAACCTGTAAAAAACCATGGAGAAAATTCATTATTTGAGTTGTGTTCTAGAAAATGAAATTGAGAGACAGGAGGTTTCAGCTCTTTGTTTTTGCTTACCAGTGATTCTTCCATGTTTTTTGAGTTTAGGACACTCTTGTAGCCTTGCAAAGATGCCTTGTGAATTGATTCTCCCTCTCCTGGTTGACGAAAGAATTCAACCCCGAAATGTTCCAAGAAAATCCCAAGCTTTTCAATGTTGGTAGCAGCAAGATTGTGAAGATCGTCACCAGCCCATACTGGGCAAATGCAAATGCACACAAACACAGCAGTAAGGCCACCAATTAGAATGGTTGAGACTCTCTTATGGGCCATGTCTAGCACTTCATCATCTCGGTAACCCGAAACCGATATCAAACAGAATGTCAAGATAAATATGAGAAGCCCATAATCATATCTTGCCTTCATTCTTGGAAAGAATCGAACAAATGTCACCGTTGTAGCTGCATAACATCACCAGCCAGTCACAATAAAATTCTTGAAGTTGTTTCAAGAATGAAAGAAAATGAAGAACTGTACGAAATAGAAGGTGTTTCAAGACTAGTGAATCAATATTTACCCAGTAGAAAGACAAAGAGCCCAAGAAGTATGGGCTCACCTTTCTCTCCAGATAGAATGGCCAAGTGATGTGCACCAAACCCAAGAGTTCCTGCTAGAAATGTTTCCAAACCTCTGTTGAGACCTCTACCAAGTGTTGCTCCTGCATTATAATCAAGTAGTAATCATCTATCAAGCATTAATTTCTTTAGTTTTTGAATAATAAGGATGTACTATTAGCTTATGTAACTTACCAACAGAGAATTCGAAGACCACCACAACAGTCAAAACTGCCCACATTGCAGAGTCACCAAAGCCATCGTACAGAGGTTCAGAGTAGTAGAACAACGATACCAATGTGATCGCTAGTCCTACTTTTACTGCATGATTAACTCTTCTTGGATCATCTTGTCCTAATTTCTTTATTTTCCTTGCACATTCAACTATCTTAGCCTTTGATCTCTCAGGCAAGGACTTGATCCACCCACATCCTCTGGAAAAACAACCACCATTGTTTTGCATTCCACTTGACCTTTCCATAGAAAGTTTTATGGCAGCAAACTTGAAAAGGTTTCTATGGGTGCTGGTCACGTTTCTATCTCCTTGAGAAAAGAAGAGAGCTTGAGCTTGAGCTTGACTCCGATCTTACAGAGAAATGTTGGCTGTAATTGAAAGGAGCTTTGCTTGATCGATCTTGTTCTTTGTCAATAGGGAGATCGTTGCTTTGGACGGAGGAGAAGGCAACTTCTGTATTTATAGGTTACAAATATTTGCGTGGGGACCAAAAGAATCCCACAAGTTCAGCTCACGTTTTTTTCGTTTCATGTATCAAAACCTTGAAAGAGATTGTTTTAAAAATCTGAGAACTCTCACAATTAATTCTTAAGCCATGTTTTTGTTTGGGTTCGGTAAAAACCACTCTTGTAGAAGTGAAACACGTTTTGTAGGCTCCATGTCCCTTTCTAGCATTAGTATCCTAGAAATTTCACTTCATGGGCTAACCAGGTAGGAACTCTTTCTCTTGGGGCGGTCTGCGAACATTTTTGTGTGGTACAGTTGTGACACTACTGTCCAAAACATTTTTTTTTATATTACCAGTACCCAACTTTGCCTAATTTAATTAATTTTATGAATTTTAAAATTAATAGTAAAATCTTAAATATTAAAAAGTAAAAAGTAATAAGTAAATTCAAAACCTAATTAATTGGGTTATCATTAAAGTTATAATTATTTTATTAATATGAATATCGGTCAATTTATTTGTATTTCAATAAATTTCATGTATTTTAAAATTAATAATCATTTAAATTTTTAGTGATTTTAAGATTTATAAAACAGTTATAATTATTTTATTAATATGAATATCCGCCAACTTATTTGTATTTTGATAAATTCCATGTATTTTAAAATTAATAACCATTTAAATTTTCAGTGATTTTAAGATTTATAAAATTAAAACTAATAATTTTTAAAAAATAAATTTAGAATCTATCTAAATAAACTACACCTCTTAAAATTAATTATTTTTTTTTTATTACCATGAATATTTAAATTAATTTAAATATATCTTAAATAATTTTATAGTTCTGGAATTAACAATAATATAAATATTTAAAATCAAAACTGTTTTTTTCATTTTATTCCGATTAAATATTAAAAAATTTATAAATAAAAAATAAACAAGCAAGCTGTTGAAGCGAAGCCAGCGGGAATATGCTCGCATGGACAGACATAACTCACCGGTTGTTTGAGGAACCTGATGACGTAGGTGCCTAGAATAACCGAGCAAATGACAGCCCAAGATTACCTCAGTGATTCTGACACGTAGCCATATGTTCTGTCGTTTCTTATCTGTATTGCACTGCCTGGAAAAGGATGGATGATTTTACTCGGTTCTTTTACCTTTTTTCTTTTCTTGAGTTGTTTGTCGTTTGTTGTTTGTTGTTGGTCAACCTCCGAGGGACTTCTGAGTGAGTGTCCAGCTGGAAACTCGAGAGTCGTGAGTTTTGATGGTACACTGCTTTGTTTACTTTATTCAACTCGTGTTGGGTTTGAATACTGGAGAGAGACTCTTCCTTTTTTATCAAGAGTTTTGATCTAGTACGTAACTTAGATTTGTGTATCCGGTTTTCTTTATAAAAAAAAAAAAAACACTCCAGTTGTAGATTTAGTTATAAAAATAAAAAAGCTACTATACGAAACAATTTAAAAGGAATAATGGGACTTGTAGAAAAAGGGTTAAAAAATAAAAAAGTGAGTTGTTTTGAAAATTAGTGAAAAATCTAACATAAAAAAATAAATAAAAATAGTAAAGTATAATTTTCAATTAAATAGCTATTGAAGGATGAAACTTTAAAAATAAAATATAAATTTAGAAAAAAAAGAAAAAAAATATAAATATAGACATATATTTTTAACTTGGATTAATCTCTAAAACTCGCAATTTATAGAATTTTAGACCCAGACTTGATCAAGAAATTCAATTCTCAATTAATTTAATATTAAAAGATTGAATCATAAAAAATAATAATTTAAAAAAATTATCAAAATAAATAAAAATAAAAAATAAAAAGAATAATGATCAAACTTGATAAAAAAACAAGGAGGATGAAATTGTAAAAAAATAAATTTAAAAATCTATATAAAATAAAAACAAATAGCAATCAAAATAATAGTGATTAAATTTGAAAGATTAAAATAATGAAGGAGGTGAAATTAAAAAGAATTTTAATTTTATAAATTGTTAATTTTTTTTTCAAATATCAAATTATGAAATTGTATAAATTGTTAATTTTTTTTTCAAATATCGAATTATGAAATTGAAAAAAAAAAATTTAAAAATTATCCATAAAAACTCAACAAAGAATGACAAATAAAAAGACCTAATATAACATAAAGCAAATAAATAAAAATAATAGAGCCTAGTCTCCAATTGAATAAATGCTAAAATATAAAATTAAAAAAAAGACATGAGATTAAAAAAAAGAAAAAGAGAGGAGATGGGGGTAGTAAATTTGGACAAACCTTTTAAACTTGGATTTACCTTTAAAACCCGCAACTTGCCAAATCCTAAACCCTAGAGCAACCAAGAAGCTAAATTCCCAACCGAAATTTTTTTTTTAAAATAAAAAGAATAGAGATAAGATTTGGTAAGAAAAAAATAATAAGGATGAAATCATGAAAAAAAATTAATTTAAAAAATAATCTTAAATAAAATAAATAACAATAAAAAAAAATTGGATATCAAATTTGAAAAATTAAAAAAGAAAAAAGAAAAAAAATTAAATTAAAATTTTAATTTTATAAATTATTTAAAACAAATATATATAGGATCCTCTCAATATCCCCTCCATTATGATCTCTCTCTTTATATATATATATATATATAAAAAGAGAAAGAGACCATTACACAGAGGGTACTAAGAGGATCCTAATATCACTATAGAATGTGATGTTTAGTATTTAAATATTAATATTTATTAAAAAAACAAAAAACCCTTAAGTTAACATAATCTTAACAAAAAATAAAATGGTAAAAGGATTAAAAAAACCCTGTAAAAAAGTTTAGTTGATTTTGTTTTTTAAGAGCATTAAAATAATTTAATTATTTCAAAAAATTCAAAAAGTCCAAAATGCCCTTGATTGAAAGCAATCAATTTTTTTATTCAATGGTAAATGTAGTAATTTTAATGTGTATAAAAAAATAATTAATCTAACTCTACATAATTTATCCTCGGTTTCTTTAAATTAATCTAACTCTACATAATTTATATAAAAATTTTTTTTTACCATGATAAAAAAACAACATTGTTCCTAAGCCTAATTTAGAAATTTTATGGTTTAAGGACAATTTCATCATTATACTATTATAATGTATTTTCATAATAAAGGTAATCATTTAATTTTGTTTTTTTTTAAATATAATTTCTGTTATAAATTTTTTTTGTTATTAATATGATTTTCTTAACAAAAAAAAACATGTAATTTTTTAGTTATGTTGTTTACTGCATAAAATTAATATCCAAAAATGTTTTAACAATAAGTATAAAAAGGTATTCTTTAATCAAAACCTCTTTTCCTCGTTCATCA